AACAGACCCTGGACCTGGATATGTTCGATTTACCCGGCTTAACTGACCCTAACAAACGCGATGTCGATAAGCGGTCCTACGAAGCTGATTATCAACTCAGTAAATCAACCAGGGTTTCTCTGTCCGGCTGAGAGCGCGTTCATGTGAAAGGGACGGGGTTAGCAACATTTAACCAATCACAAACATGGAGACGCGTGCTGACAGCGCAGCATCATACTTCATGAATGAATAGTGTAAATAGCCAATCCTGCTTCGTAGTACAGGCCACTGGTGCCGCTGAGATTTCATAAAGTGAAGGAGGTTTTCCTTCTATAAAACAGCTGTGGGCAGCAGATACTGTGAGTCACGGACAGGAATCCCTCAATTTAAATAAAACGAGGCCACGCTTTATTAACTCGTGCGCACACTTTAGTAACTCGTGCGCACGAGTTACTAAAGCGTGCACACGAGAAAGTAAAACGTGGCCACGTTTTATTTATTTTTCTCTCTATGAACCCTCCAGGGCTCCGTACTCCAGGGCTCCGTAGATATCTACAAACAAAGAGTCGATATTTTTCTAAGACCATTTAGTGCTTCACATAATAAAATACACAACGGCTGTAGCCTGATTGTGCTTTAGGAGGTGTGTGTGTGTGTGTGTGTGTGTGTGTGTGTGTGTGTGTGTGTGTGTGTGTGTGTGTGTGTGTGTGTGTGTGTGTGTGTTATAGTGCGGGGGGGATATATCCAGTCTCTGATTGTGTTACGTTATTATGAGAGTGCTCTCATACTTGTTTGATTCTGAAATTGTATATATTTATATAGATGTGTGTGTGTATATGTCCGCATCTGTAACCTGTTATTGTGTCATTATACCGCACTGTCAAGGAATTAAAAGTAAATATATAAGTCGTCATGAACACATCTGTCTATCAGACAGAGGGCTGCTGTGCCTCCTGTCATCATTAATGGACGTCTCTTTAAAATGACCGCTCAGAGGAGAGGAGTTCTCATTTCTCTAACCGCCTGCTGCTTCCCCTCCTCGACTCCTCCGCTCGCATCTCCTGTGGGCGGGACTAAGTCTCAGGGATAGGAAATTAGAGTATTGAGAAACCTCTCTAGACACACACACGCACACAAGTATTATAATAAATGTTTGTCAGAAAAAATCTACTCTAAACGTAAAGAATATTATTTATTTAATCTCAAACACTTCACTAATTTGTTCATTGTTTTGATCAAATTTGATTGATAGCAACTAAACAATCTATCAAAACTTCAACCTGTTTCAATGTAACTAAATCCTGATTGAACTCAATTGTTTCTACTTTAGTTTGACACGCTTCAAATCAATGAGAGGAGAAACAATTTGTCAGTTTCTCCGAAGAATTCAGGAAAAAATACCTGCATTTAAGAGTATAGGCCTACATGAGAAAAGTTAAACAATTTCATTGCTTTCATTTAATATATCCTGTATTTCATCACATGCTTGCAAGTTTGAGCAGAACGCAAAACAAAGACTTAAACATTCCTTTACTCAAATAACAGGGGCAACATAAGTATATCAAAAATCAGGGTTTCTTTTCATCTAAGGCAGAACTTATACCATTTAGTATGAGTATTTGTGACGTTGATTGGCGCATTATTATAATGATTTACTGCAATTAGTGGGGTGTAGAATGACTTGCCAGAGGTGGATATATGCAGCTGTGGCCAGATGGAATCAGTATGCTTCTCACGGAACAGTGATATTAAACGGCAGCCAGTGAGACCGGTGCTCTTAGTGAAATACAAGATGACAAGCTGCCTTCATGGTGTCCACTTTTCTGCTGACTGACACTAATTTGACATCTTTTCACACATGGTGCTGTAAACTTGTTAAAGTGTCATTTCGATGGCAGCAGAGGCACATGCTGCATAATCAATTATATATCATGATTAAATAGGCAGTTTGCATTGAAGGAAAATGGAGGAGAGAATGGATTTTTAAGTGGCACCCAATAGCGATGCACCAAATATTTACATACATCTTTTCACAACCTATAATTATCATGTCTGCTTTTATGCAAAGACCTTAACAATGAAGCCAAAAGCTTCCTTCAGTTCATATTTATTTGTAAAATAAAGTGTTGATCATTCAATAATTTGACTACATAATTATATGACACAAACATTTTATTGACTCAAAGAACACAAATAGTTATCTAAAATGACATGGACTTTTATAGCCGTACAACAGTTGAATTATACTGTTTTTTTTAAATACATGAACTGAACATACAAAGTTACAGTAAACATGCCTTTTGATAAAAATATCTTTACAAAAAATGTACATTTCTATACAACAGTTGTCAGTTACACTATCTCTACAAGCCCCATGATTCTGGGTAAAACCTGCAACCACTCCAACAAACTGTCAGTATATCATTTCAGCATTATTTTAAACTCAATAAAAGTTTTTTTTTTTCATTTATTTGAAATAATAACAAGAAGGACTATATACAGGGTAAACTTAAAGATGGTTGAGCCAGAAATGTTTTAAAGTGACCCAGATAATTTCCAACAGTTAAAAGCAATGAGGTTTTTATTTATTTTTTTAAGCATTTTTGCAAAATATTTGACACATCACCATACTGCTCAGTAAATAACAGGCTACCAGCAAAAAAGATAAACATGTAGCAGAGCCATTTCCCTTAGACATGTCTTTGGATACAAAAATAGTGCTAAATATTACACATTATCATCATTCACCAGACATTTATTTTGAATGAGCTGCAGAACAGACATTTTATTTTATGTTCTTTTTTCAGGCAGCACTGCCAGGTTTGACTGTTGTATTTATGAAGTTGTGCAAGGCGACCGTTCCTTCACATTTTAATTAATTCTCTGTTAAGAAGGGTCAGTAATAGCAAAAAACCCCGGTATTTTGGTTTTCTTTGCTCAGGTTGTACGGTCATAAGAAAGGTTCAAAGGTGTTTTGTGGTTCAAAACATTGAGCAATTACATTTAAACCCCCCTTAACAAGATTAGTATTATCATGTTTTCATAGGGATAAATAGGACATTGAGTCAAAAAGTAACATTGCTGTTAAATTTCTCAAAATGTGTTTTTATGCATCAAGCCCTGCATTTATTTTTTTATTACCAAGTGTTTAAAGCGCAAAAAGAACCACAGTTATCTCCTCTAATAGACAATAGCCATGTTTGTCTTGAAAAAAAACCTTAAGGAGAAAGATTTTAACAGTGAAGTTATAGGAGCAGAGAGAAGTAGAGCTGTTACTCAGCTGCAGTGAGTTTAAGGACAATGATGGAGGTTAATGAGCGTTTCATAAGAAGCTGTATAATTAACAGCTGTGATTAATGTTTCAGCCCACTAGCCTTTTCTTACAACCCATAGCTAACTGACAGTATACCAGGTGTGCCAGCTGATTGAGCTTATTGATGCCATTGAGCTATCAGCATATGTTCCATCTACCTCCTTCTGCGAATACCTTTAACTGAAGGCTTAAGACGAGAAACATGCCTTTGTCAGTGTTGCTTGTCAATTTACTTTTTTGCAAACTGGAAATAAATTGGGCAAACCTGCTGCAAATTATTAACAGTAGAACATGAAGATATCCACTCACTGGTGACATATTTCAATTTGCAGCAGTTTGTTGATAATCAGGTTGATTAAAATCACTTAACTGAAGCTGCTCCACATGGCAACAACACAACAACTAATGCCACTTTTGCAGTAACAATGTACATTTCCCCACCTTGGGACTAATAATGAATTTCTGATTCGGATTCTGAATAAATTGGCATATATAATGAAGTAAACTGCACAAAGTGAGTGGACAAATCACCCAATGCTGGCCAGATTATCTTCCACTTTAGGTATTTTATTAATAGATTAATGGGTTGTATTGTCTCACTACTTGTTTAGGTTTTTAAGGCCAGTGTATCATGTTATACTATAACAGATGTATTCCAAATCTAACCGATCCAAAAGACAGATCACATACTTCAAAAAGGAGTCTTGATATATAATTTAAAAAAACCTCAGCTTGCACTTTCGCCTGAGCAGAATCAAATCAAAATGCAGGGGGGTAGTAGAGGAGAATGAGAAAGGGCCTTGGCTCCTGAACAGCAGCAGTGCATGTTGGGATGCACAAGTTGAGCAGGGAGGAGCGCTTTGAGACGTTGGGGCATTGCTCCCTGGCAGGACGCCTGTGCCAGTGTTGGCTCTCTACCAGTGACGTGCGGTGAGGTTCATGGCTGGTGAGGCACTGACTCTTTCAGAGTCAGATTTACAAATATTATATTCTGACCTTAATCGAAATATTCTGTTATTTTCAAAAGCTTTTTTGGTCTGATGTTTCGATTCATTTTAAACAGACCGTTCAACAAAAGGATAGGCTAACCACAATCTAAATATTGGATTGTTCTTTCTTAGTAAGAACCAATTTTCATTACCAATGTGGTCTTACCTTGACTTGAAGATGAAGTCCATGCTATCCTTCTGGACAACAATCTCTATTACTTTTTTGTAAAAGTCCTCCTTATCTTCCTCTAGTTTCAAAAGTCTAGTTTGTTGTTCGCGTCTATACCGTCTCTGCGTAGAATAACAGTAGCAACAAGGACCTGTGGGCTCACGTGCGCCCCCTTCAGTGCGGCAGAGGTTATGGCTGCCTCCCCTAGTGCTTTTTTCATTGCCGTTGTACGGCGAGCCTAAATATCATATACGTGAAATAAGTTATTTAGAGACTATGGATGGCGAGGATAAATGTAATAAAGGGATCTACAAACATTACGTTGGTGACATACAGTGAGATGGTGCAGGCATGCGCTTAGTGCCCGCTTTCCAGACAGTTTCTGTGAGGTGACGCATTCTGAGGTGAGGCAGAGCTCATCTGTGCCTCACCTTACCACACAGTAACTGGCTTGAGCGCACTCACAAAATAAGTGCCCGCGCTAAATTAGTGCCCGCGCTCCAGCAAGTTACTGTGGGCTTACGTGAGGCAGAGCTCGTCCCTGCCTCACTCCTCTTCGCTCCCATCTAGTTGTAGCGGAGCTCGGCAAATTTGCTGATTTTGACTATAAAAAGCGATTGGAATCAAACATAAATCACATTTACAACACAGATCAGTGGAGACATTTTATTATTATTACTATTTAGTTTTTCTTTAGTTGTTTTTCCGTTACATTGTAGTATGGCCAGTCTATGAGTATGACAGGTGAGGCTCTGCCTCCCCTGCCTACCCTGACTGCACGTCGCTGCTCTCTACCACTCTAGGAAATGTCTGCTTTGAAAGTTGGCAGGAGTTGGAATATGATGGAACAGCCCCACAGGGTATTTGTGTGATAAATGGATAAGCTGGATAAAGTTATGCTCGTAGCTCATGGCTTATACACGAGAAAAAGCAGACCCAGACGGCACCGATGTTTCATTAGTTTTGTGGATATCATACTGCGGTCGCCGATTGTTCTAGTCATTTGATCTTCGAGCAAAAGTTATTTGAAATACAGTTTGTGAAATTACATTGTTAACACATTTCATATGGTAAATCAACAATTCCTTTCCGTTCCACGTAATTCAATTTGCAAATCTGAATAAAAAGCCTTTTTTTTTTTAATTATACATTCCCATAGTATTTATTTTTTCAGGAGCAGGATTAGCGCATAATACTCTCAGCCTCCTGCAATGAAATATAAGTCGCACAGAATATCCATGAAGGTGGCCACTGCATGAAAATGAGTCTTGAATAGATTTTCTTCAGAGAGCACATCACGTTCGCTATGTGCTGCAGAGTTGGGAATCTAAATGTGATTCAGCATCTCTTGAATACAATTTACAGTCCAGTATGAGAGTCTTGATCCCTCAGAAATCTTTTTTCTGTGTCTTGAAGGCGATGATAAATTCTAATACCACCAACCGGGAGCGTCTGCTGCCTCATCCTGATGAGATAAAGAAGATGAAAACACACATTAGAAAACCGCTTCTCCTTCTAAAACATGGTGGCTATTTATAATGCAGTTAATCTGATGAGGATTAGGCTGAGTTTTAAAGCTTGTCCGTTTTGAATGGCCTCCGAAATATCTTGGAAAGTGCAGAAATACTTGCTGGTATAAAGCTGCCTTCCTAATTCTACTGGACATGACTTATTAAGGTTCTTCTCACTGTGATTTCATATAACCACATTCATATACTCTCTGCGACCTTGACTGGGATTTTCAGGTTTTTAAATGCATGTGCTGTGAGGAGGTTCTGGTGAATTGGCTACTGATAGAATTTTGAAAAGGCAGACATGAGGAAAGGAAATGGAACGTAACGTGTTTTTTCTTTTTTAAAGTGGCAAGAACTGGGACACTAGACGCCTAGAAAGGCATATGGGAAAAGCAGTAGGGGGTTAGCTATGAACACTTTAGCTGGTGCACACATAAATGACATAAAATAAACATAAAATTGAGAGCAACTGACAGTTCTTTTAAGGTAAAGAGAACAGATTAATTAAATAAATTCATCCGCAATCCCATCATAAATCAAGCCAACAAAACGGCTCACACTAATAAATGTAGGCTAGCCAGCTAACATTGAGAAAGAGATACGCTAATGCTAATATTACTGCTAATTGTCTTCCATACAGTTTGGTTTACATTCTGATAAAACCATCAAATTATTGAATAGTGAGCTTTAGGGCTACTGGTGACCTGACTTTCTTACATTCGGAAAGATTAAGAGTATAGCCATTTTCCTCAGTTTAATATGTATGCTAAGCTAAGCTAGCTTGCTGAATCTAGCGTCATACTTTGTGAACAGACTTGACAGTGTCATTGATCTTAGGAAAGTGAAAAAAGCTAATTTCCTGAAATGTTTAAGTATTCTTTCAAACTTAACTTGAACAGTGAGTGACAATGAGAGATACAAGTTAATGTCTTTAATCAAGAATGTATTGTTTTAATGGTATTCAACAATAAAGTACTGTTTATTTAGCCTATATCTTGCACACGTTGGAGGTTATAGTCGACACACCCTGAGAATTATACAACTATATTGCATAAAATTACAAATGTGACCACAATTGGAAAATAAAACAACTTCAAATACATCAAAATCCGGGGCCAATATGAACTATTGATTTCCTTTGCTCACACATAAAGCTATGGAAGAGTTAAACAGAGCTTACATAAACTCATACATACAGCTGAGCACCCCCGCTACGTGGAGCCGGCCAGCAGCGAGCCAACTGATGATGTGGCTGCATCATTACCCTCACCCTGAGAGAAGAGAGCAGGAAACTCTCTACCTAAGGCCTCACCATTCATGCTCACAATTCAATTAGATGAATGTTGTTTATGGGCAGTTCTGGCCCATTGGAATGCCATTATTGATCCCTCTGTTGAATTCCGCATTAGCTAGCCTTCAGTGGAGCTGGTCTTCTAAATGTCATAGAGTTTATGACTTAGAAGATGATTAACTAATGTTTAGAGATGCTCAAGACACAGCTCATCGGTTAAGGCTTTTAATGAAGGCTTTGAAGACTGGCTGCAGTCTAGTAAAACAAACTCACAGATCCTCTAATGGATTAATAAACCTTACCTGATCTCAGTTGTCAATATCCGATACATGGTTCTCTATCTGAAAAGAAGGGGAGAGGGAAATAAAAGATATGGATATGATTTAGCGTTCAGAAGCGAGCAGGTTGTATTTCATTCTTCCTAAAAGGTCATCGCCGCTGTACGGTGAACAAGCGCAGCCTGAGAACATTCTTTGTGGTGTACATTATCACGATGTGTGATCAGTGTGACCTTCAGAAAACAAATAAATCTTTACCGCCATGTCGCTGAAAAATAATGTCTTCCATTAGCGGGGGCAGCAAGCTTTCATCAAGGAGAGCATTCCCGTACTCGCCTGCTTAATGGCTAATAAATATATCATTATAGAGAAAGCATGGTCAAACCCATGGCCAATGCAACAGAACAGAGGATGGAACCGAGGATAATTATTCAGATTTGAATGCAGTGTGGTATGAAATGAAATGCTGAAAAATACTTTTTATATGCAGCAGTTTTTAAAAGTGAGGAAACAGAACACACAGTCTCTGTCTTTATACCAGTTCAATGTGTTACTTTTCTTGTAATCGGAACATTTTGCACAAGCAATTGTACAGCGTGTGCCTAAAACTGATGAAAATATTCCATTATAGGATTCCATTAATTCAGGAAAAGTTCTACTTATACGAGTTTATTGAAATATAATTGTTGATGGCCATGTTTTTAAAGTTTGAGTACATTTTTCTGAAGAACATAAACATTTTGAGGCCTGTCAAAATGAATTGATTTGGTTGAGATATTGGTAAAACATGTGAATCTGTGAGTGGCTCTGTCTCTTTGAAGCTAAATGTTGCAGAATAATATGGTTTCTGGTGATCATCACTGAGAAATACATTTCAACCTAGTTTTGTAAAAACAAAGAACAAAAAAAAGGAAACTTGTAAACTGGTGTTAATTAGAAACAATTATAATCAGCATTCCTGAACACTATCAACACATTTTTTTATAATATATAAAACTTAAACCTTCCCAACAGCTCCAGTTGGCTTCTCCATACAGGTGCTACTTCCTCAGCAGCCTTGTGAACAGAAACCTACGGTATTTACACTATTTTACATCCAGATTCACACCGGTGGTCTTAAGCGCTCCTCTGTGTCTCTTGAGCCCTCTGCTTCAATTATAAGTTTGTGTGTGCCTGTGTGTGGGCCTGTGAAGAGTCTTCCAGAGTGATAGGGGGTCAACAGGGAGAAACTGTCAGTCCAAAAGCTCTCACCGTTCACTCATATGAAGCTCGGCTCTCTTAGATCTGCGGCCATGAATAATTCTGTCAAATTAACTTTAAGAATGTAAATACTGTCTGCCCACTTGAGATCTCCCAAAGTGCCTTGCTCTCTGCCTCGCTGTCATGCCTGTCAGCCGTTTCTCTTACCAGATGGTGGTTGCCCTCCTCGTCGTACTCATCCTCGCCTCCATCGGTCATCTCTCCAGCCTCCATCCCCAGAGCCCCGTCGCCCGCTTCCTCCCCAGAGTTTTCTGCCGTCTCTGACACAGACTCCTCATGCAGGGAGTCACAGTTGTCCTCATACTTTCTCTGAGCTTCTGAGTGAGAAAGAAGGGCAAAGACAATCGTTTTTGGTTCACACAGCAGTACAATAAAGTTGACATGGCTGCCTTTTTCTGGTTTTAAAACCTGTGCAGAAATGTGATGCCCTCACTATCGTTCCCAAGAGGACGTGTTGCTACATACGATCAGCTGGACAGAAGAGGTGACCTCAACAAGTGACAAATTGACATATGTCCATTGTCAACACTGTAATTTATCATCTAAAAGAAAATACACTGTTGCCAATTCAGATGTGAATACCAGCTGCTAAATTCAGACAACCTGAACAACCGTAATGCAACCGAAGACTCTATTTAGCTTTCCAGCTAACACCGATAAAACATGATTGAATAAAGTTTAGACACTGACAAAGGACCGCAGTTGCTGCTGTTGATGTGCCTCTTTCGACATGTAGGCAAGAAGTTAGTACTCAATGATAAGCGGGGAAATATTTCTGGTATTTAACTCAACGCTACAATTTTGGGGAATTAAAGTGTTCTATGTAAACCATCAAAAGCTAATTCTGTGTCATTGGCATGCATTTGACAGTTTGCATTTATTTACATAAATAGTAAATGAGTATGTGTTTGTGTTCAAAACACTGCAGGATCTCTCGTCCTTTCTTTTATTTATCTTTGACCCTGAATGATAAAGCACCAGGATGACGGTGAATTCTGCTCAAGTTAATAGCCATGATAAATTGCATCATTAGAGCAGCTCATGACATAAAGTCATGTGGGCTATATATAGGCCTACCACATTATGTTGTTGAATACATACTGAATTTTCCGTAGAAAGGAAAATAAATGATGAATCATCGTGCCGCCTAACCATAGTTAATCAAATATTTCTTCATGCTTCAAGCTGATAGCTTTTAGAAACAAAAATCCATCTCCATCCAAAAGAAAAACCTTGATTTTTTCTGTTTATTTACGTATCTAGTGAAGTTTTCCCTTTGAAAAAAAGGGATTGCTGGAAGGATGAACAAGGATTTGTGTGATTTATTTGGTGATGGAATTCAAATATACAAAGATTGATAGCTCAAATAAAACTAAGCAAGCAAGCCTGGGAGAAAAAAATTGTACCATGAATGCTGTCTACAGTAAGTGACCTTCAATAGGAGACTGTCCTCTAGTGTCGAATATATATTAAGACCTCTCAAATAAACGTGGCGTCAGCGTGGCGTTGACACCTGTCAGCAGTTATGACAGAGGGCTCTACGGCTCTTATCTCCCAAAATGTCATGAAGACTTATGGCCAGCGTTTGCTGTTAATTTTCCTCCCTCCCTCCCGCTCTGATTCGCGTTGCTTCTCACCAGACTCGGCTCTCTGCTGCTTTTCGATCTTCTCCAGGCGTCCCAGTAAAGAGTCGATCTTCAACTTGATCTGAGTGAGCTCCCGCTTTATAGTTTGAAGCTGGTCCGTCTTCACTGCTGAGGGACGGAAACAAAAAAATACAGAGTTATAGCTACTTTTAAGTTGTTCTCGTTTTATTCGTGCAGCCATTTTAATGGCCGTGCTTCACACCGTTTTATCACAGACCGCATGCTGTCATCTGTTAATGCTCTTAGTTTTGGATATCATGTCTTCACTCTGAGTCACTCTATCCTCAGGGAGGAACATCTCATCTGGCCATCTGTAAAGTCACCCTGCTGAAAATATGGACCTGCTGCTTTCCATTTGAAGATTAGTGCACAGCTTACGCCCACCATGCTGTGCAGTTCTGCTCAAGTTTTGCTCAAAAACGTCAATATCTGAACACACTCTATTCTGTAGTTCAGCTGGCTTCGGTGATTATATAAAGCAAGGGAATGTCATACACTATTCGAAGTATCTGTTTGGATGTGCATATTGTGAAGGTCAGGTCAAAGACATGAATCTTAAATTTGTAATCCTTTAGATGATCATTTTATATAATTTTGTTAGAAAGTAGTTATGATCTACCTTTCAGCAGAAGCCATTTAATGTATTCATACTCTGTTAATACTGGGTCTGTTGTGAGTGGTAAACTGCTTAGAGTTGTCCCGCCCCTTAGCCTATCACGTACAATATGCTGGAGTGCTAGCCAATAGAAGTGCAAGTGTCAGTGATGTCACTTTTTTACGAAAATGCACTAAATAGTCCAAACGAGGCGTTTCAGGCAGTGTGTGGGAGAACAATTATTCTGCCGTGAACTTTGGGATTTAGCCTTTGCAGACAATTTACATGCACTGAAACCTACAAAAAAAACTACAGGAAAGGGAATAAACCCAAAAAGTATAATAGTGCATCTTTAAAATCAGTTTCCCAGGCGTAACATTGGACGGCTCTTGTTTTGAAGCATATACTGCAGTTGCTTTTTTTAAATGTTCAACAGAGTAGCTTCTTAAGAACTAAACAGTTATCAAGAATGAAGAAGAACTCAATCATTTTATGATTTTGTAACTTCTAAAAACTTAAACTGCTATTAGTAAACATGACTGTCAATGCTTCTTGAGTTTGAAGAATTATAAAAAGAAAATGCTATTGAACTGCTATCTGGAAGTGTGTCATTCCTAACTAACAGTGCAAACAACACAAAACAATTTCAACAATTTCTATAGCAAATGAAATCATTGGGAACATAATGTAGAGTCTTGTATTTAGGGCAAAACAGCACAGCTTGACATAAAGAAGATCAAATTATTTTACAGGCAAGCAATCAAAAATACATGAGATATGGTTTCTAAATATGCATGAATGTTGACCCGAGTAAAAAACAGCCATCTCAAGCAACTGTCCCAGATAAGGGTCTCTGTGGAACCAAATTAAGTGTTCTTAACAAATTATTAAACAGGTATGGGACCCGTAAAATACCAGACTTAAATCCTAGCAGCAAATTATAAATGTGACACATGGAGTTCAGTAAAATAAATCTAGGATTCGTATGTGAAGAGGGAAAGCTGCTCATTCACTGTATGAAATATCCACATACAAGTATTTTGCAGTAAATTATGAATGACGCGCATCTAATATAACATATAGATAAAAAGTAGTTTTGTGTTTTCATCCAAACTTGAAAATGTTCACTTGTATTAAATTACATTGACACATAAACTTAAACCAGTTTGCTTTAGTTGCTTACACTCACTTCCTGCCACTTTAGCAGACTATCGCCTCACTTAAAGTACTGCTTTAGAAACAGGGGGCACAATATGACCCCCCACAGTTTCTGTTTACTGCTTCTTGAATAATTTCTCTTCCCTTCTGCTTTGCCAAAGTTTGAGTCTTAACATCAGTGCGTCATACGTGAAAAACATCTGCTTAAAAACAAAACGAACAAATGCATCTGAAGGGCGTAACAATTCATTCAATGTGGACTGTATCACTGTTGCGGGTGTACCCGTGAACAGCTCTGAGAAGATAAAATCATTTAGACCATAAAAAGCAATAAAATAATCTTATGCCGTAACCCACGGCAGCTGAAATGTGTCATCTTCAGAGAGGAAGGGAAAAACAGAAAAGCAGAAGTTGAGAAGAAAATCTGACACCTATCAGATTCTGGATGAGTGTTCGGTAAACAAACCTACGAGTTTCCTGTAGAGCTGCGGATGGAAAATGAGGAGGAGACATGCATAGAATCTTGTCAGGTATCATGTCGGCACGCGGCTCTTTAAGTGCGTTTCTTTGATGTATATTTACACCCAGACTACATCACAATGCAGATCCACTCCTCATTTTGTTGCATAAAACATCTACGGTTGGAGATGTCAGTGCGTGAAGCTGACTGTAAACTAGCATTCCAAAAAATAATCTTTCACACTAATTCAGAGTGAAAAACAACACTGCCCAGGTAAGATCCAATACATACTTTAGGCTATCTACCAAAACATATTTCAAAAACGGGATGATTAATGTGGGAAAGTGAAATAGGAAAGAAGGGGTATATAATGCCCCACTGAAAGCTATATTTAGGAAAGAAGGGGTATATAATGCCCCACTGAAAGCTATATTTAGGTAAATATCTATGTGCAATCACAAGAATGTGTCTCATGTTGTTTCGTAAAGCTGAAGTCAACTCTAAAGCTACAGGGATGCGGAAAATTGACTTTTTCTTGAGGGGAAAAAGGAGAAAATAGCAGATAGATATACTCTGATATTACAATGGTGGGACACACTGAAGTGTCTCTATCTCGGTGTACAAAGCAACATCCATAAATGCACACACATACACTCGCTTCCTTATTCCAACATTATCCCTGCTCGCTCTGGGCGGCTTACTTTGATGATAAGAATGTGTGGGACAGCTTTTAATTTATCTCTGCCTCCAGGTCTTTTTCCCTTTTGTGCTATCAGTCACATAAGCTGCAGAGAGACAACACACACATCCTTATCAACACAGCATCTTTAAATAGCCCGTTTTGAAGGAACAGGCGAAAATATTGCCATTGTTATTCAATAAGCATTATAAATAAGATTTATGGAATGGGTATTAGATCTGATTGAGCACATTTATTTATTTTGGGGATAGCGAGGATGTCTCAAATCACTTGTTTATGATAATTCGACTGGAAAAAGACCTTGGGGCTGCTGATGTTGATGTGTGACTCTTAATGGTAGTAAAAAGGTTACAAGTTCAGAGGATGGACATCAGGAAGATTCTTAGAGAAATATTTTTAAGATATCTTTACTGATGTAAAACTTCTAAATATAATCAAGCCCATACATTATGTGTTTAATGTCTTATTTTAATATCTGAATAAACTGAACAAGCAGTATCCTGAGTTTTTAACTAAATGAGGATAACATCTATTCTTCATTCATCAGTGCAAACCATTTTGAGATCCTAATTCCCCTGCAGAACATTTTGTAACAGGAGTGCACAGAAACAAAAATAAGTTTACAATTGTTGTGCCCCTGAAAGTCTTACATTTCGCCGCTGTAAATGTTCAATTTGATCGATAGAAATTCAACCAAGTGTCTGTAAAATCTGTCTAAAAAATAAATAATTTGACTTGCAGCTCTAGTTCAGTATCATGTAAGACTTATATTGAAACAAATGTGCTTATCAGAGAGGAATATGATTGTGACTTTATTAAAAAAAATGTAAGTATAATTTAGGGGCTTGATCAAAATAGTAATTGTGACAGTTGAGGAAAATAAAAGGACAGATTAGGAGAGCAGTGCAACAGTGAAATGAGTACTATTCAGAATAAACACAGGGTATTATAGACACATAAAGGTATCATTAAATAGTAAGTATACTTACTATTTATATCATATGATTTATAAATCATATGATTGTGTAACTTTCTCAACACAACCAAACTTAAAGATTCATTCAGTCTTTCCTTAATAGACTGACAGAATGAGCCAAAAGCCAAATCTCTCTTCATTCACTCAACACTGTGCGTTAAAGAGGGTTTAATGTGGAAAACACAAATCTATCCATCTCCGTGGTCCCTGCCTCTGACAGCTGTTTCCATTTCTCCCCTAAAGTGAAAAACTACTTGAACAGACTATATCGTTTTAAAACTCCCCCCACTAGCCCTTCCCCCCTGTTTGGACACGCTAGCCTTATTGCACTGTCCAATCTATCTAGGCCAGAGTCAATACAAACAGGGATTTTTTTCACAGGGGCAAATTAGTAACACACTGCAGTTTAGAAAGAGAGGATAATTCATCGACTCTGCCCGAAAGGAGGCTGGGAAATGGGCTTTTTTCCCCCTCTTCTTCTCTATAAAACCAACTGCAACTAGGTCTTCCTCACAGACCTTCCCTCTCAAGCTGCTCGCGCTGATAACACTGGCTAGACAGGCAACAATGGAATAAACACTGTAGCCAATTACACAGGCTACGAATAGAGACTAACGTTTAGGGAAACACAGCTGACCACAGATCCAAAAAGATGGCCCCAATCTCACATTAATTACATTTAGCACGTTAATCGCCAGTTAATCAAAGGAGCGAATGAGATCCAGATGGATCCTGGGTGACAGCAATAGCTCGCAGAACGAATAGTGCTCCTCGCAAAGCTCGGATTATATTTGTGTTTGCGACTTAGTGTTTTGCTCTACATTGCAGTGTGGCTTGTTGTGAGCTGCTGGAGTGAATTAAATAGCTTTTTATAGTGGCGTAAGTAGCACAGCGGAATAATGCCAACCCTTTTCTCTCTTGGAGCCGTGTTTCTTTTTTTGCATTTTAAGGCTTCTTTTTTTCAAAAGGACAGAATGCCATTAGAGTAATTAGGCTTCGTTCTTTTGAAAAATCCATATTAAATAAAGTCTAATCTGAGTGTAAACACAAGATAAGTAGAAAGCACCTTATTGTACGTACGTTTGAGCCCGGAGGAGGACGTGGGAGGTCTGGAGGATGAGGAGGAGGAAGAGGATGATGTTTTGATGGGGAAGGAGGTCTTCCCGCGGCGGGAGGAAGGAGCGAGCACCCTGGAGCGCTTGACAGGGATCACGGCCCTCGGTGGGGGGGCCACTCTGCCATGGTAGTCAAAAAGCCTCAAGGAAAGAAAAAAAATCTAAAATATTACACTTCACTTCCCACACTTTTCCTATAAGTCACTGTCTTCTAAAAGATGTGCTAAAGCATCTAAAAGCTTTTCCATTTATATCACCATCACCTCTTTCTCAAGCCTATTATCTGTTCCCAGTATTGTTTTTCAAGATACATGTTGTATGGATTTCTCTTGGGTTCATTCTCCGAAACGGCACCCGTAAAACAAAAGGCAGACTTTGCAGCTGAAATCTACCTCCAGCCCTCTTTCCAAGGCCGATACATGCATGCAAATGCAGAGGCTGAAAAGAAGAGGGTGCTAATGTCAAATGAAGGCGTCAGCATTGACTGTTCTCAGTGACAGTAGGAGTCTGTCACAGTTCTCAACAAGTTTGACATTTAGAAAGTGTCTCAACAGATAAGCAGTCAGATCACCAGCGGTTAAATGAGATCGAGGAAACAAGTGTCCTTCATCAGCCTCGAGTCGCATGCTTGATCTGATCGGACATTTTGACATGTTGGCTATTTCAAGGTGCCTCTGTGAGGATACTGAACTACATCTGTCATTAGACGTTTAATGAGGGAGTCATAAATAAAGAGACCTATTGATCTTTAGCTAAACCACGCCCCTGAAAATGATTGTCCAATGGTCGGTCTTGCTTTGTATTTCTTTGTTATGTAGAAAGAGCGTATTTAAAAAATTCTTAGAGGGTGGTGAAAAGCAGTCAACAAAAAGTTTACAGAGGTAGCAATCGTTAGCATACCCGGCTAACAATATTAGCATGGAACGTATCCGTTACTAACATTAGACTGTCAAAAGACATATTTTAAGAGTGTAATTTCAAAACATTTAAGAGTTATCAAGAATTGGTGATTGGTAGATTACGGATTTCTTTGTTTTCTATGGAGCCAGTTCTTAGACAGAAGCAAAAACAAATGTTCTTTGATTAATACAATCATTTTCAATCAATAGTTTGTGTCAAATTATTAATTTGTATTAATTAAGAAGCCGTGTAATAAGTGCGTTAATGTAGGTTATGTTGTGGATAATTCCACAATAATGACAGTAAATTAGTTAGCTACCTCTAGCTTATATGATCAGCTTTGTTTTCCTCTGTCTTAAACTAATAATGTTACGTTGTAAATGTGCCCTAATTAGCATTGTAAACTGCATGTGTGTAGTTTGATAGCAACTACAACTAATGGGGGTAAGGCAAAGTTAACAGTCAGCTGTTTCCTTGTTAAATCTCAAATGTGATAACATAATGTGAACGATACATACCTGCTGTAAAAGTCATCCCTGTAGTACTCGTAATCAAGTTCATAACCGCTAAGAGAGACAAGCAGGGGAAACAGACGGGGGAACAGATAAAGAAGAGATGAGATCTGTCAAAAAGAAACTCAAGTTGTTTTGACTCAAACTGACATGCTCTATGTCTAAAGCCCACACTAAGACACACAGGCATGCAAAGACCACAGATCAACAAATAATCTAAATAAAGTTTCAGAGGGGAAATAAAGTCGGGGAATGAAAGGAAAACATTTTTTTCTTAGACCCTGGAGAGGAAAATCAATGTTAAGTACACACTCAGGATGGCAACTAATTTAAAATGCAGAGAAGAGGAGCAAAGAGGGAGCTGTTTTGAAATGCTGATAGTTGGAAAATAAATGCTGTTTTGAAATTCTGCAAATTCTCACAGGAATTGTAATTAGTATTAATGTATTTCTATTTCAACTTGAAGTGGTGTACTGTTGTTTTTGCCACTCTTGTTGCTCTTCCGTAATTGCTATATTACTTCCTGGTGGGTTTCAGCTGTAGCTATCCAATGCAAATGAGGGTTTATGGTAAAACAATGCATAAACTAATGCATTTGTAAACAAAGATGTGCAATACAAGAAACCAACAATTCAGAAAGGAGTAAATTGGAGGGATTTTTGCCAATGGACACACCATCTGAATACACAATAAAGAGTCCCAGTGAATAAAAAAAAGCCTCCGTCACATCAGCCTGCAGTAAACAAGCACTGCTTTGATCCGTGTGTGACCAGGAGATGTGAACGGGGCAGAAAATCAGGGTCATGCTTAATGAAGCTTACACAACAGCATCTCCTCTGAGCTTTACAAACTCCAGTCAGTGCTGAAAATATGGAGAGCATTAAAAACTCAATTACAAATTCAAGGCTCAAACATAATATAAATCCTCATTCAAATATTACTCTACATTTACATCAGCGGAAAAGAGCAGGGTGTGGAGGAGAGATCATATTTATGGCTGCAGCTCCTCAGATGAAGGAGTATGGATGGTCAGATCTTACCTGTAAACAGCTGAGAGCGGCCTCTTGGAGCCTGCTTTGGGCCTGTAGGGCTTCGGCTCGCCCGCCATGTTTATGTCTGCACACAAAAACAGACAGAAAACAGGTCAGCCATACTGAAAACTTTATAATAATAGGTTTTGGTAAGACTTCATTGAGCATAAACAGGCATTACATTGGAATGTAATACATTTTTGCATTCAAACACATTATTTTGTAAGAACATAGCCATTGTTTTTTTCTTTAAAAAATTGGAGTCTTTAATGTGAATATGAATATTTGAGGGGCGAAAAAATGAAATAATAATGAAAGAAGGGGAAAAGAATAGTGCTAAACCTCACATTTCCTCGAAAAGCTATTGAGTGGCTAATAAGATTAAGAATCAGAATCAGAAACAGGTTTATTACTAGGTAGGTTAACACATACGAGGAATTTTACATCAAACAAGGATTAAAAGCACATTAAAAAATGATTTGAAGAAAACTATAATAACATACATTTTTTTTTTAATATAGTAAAAAAATAGCAGTATTTACTTTGAATATGGTTGTTTAGTAGTCTTTACTGTATGTATTATATAAAGATATCTGAAATGTGAATTATTTCATAATTACATTTAGAGATTACATTATTTCTATTACACTATTTGTATTTAAAAGTGTTGACATTTACTTTATTCACAGGGAGACATGTCCTTAAATCTGCTTATCACAGCATTATATTGTGTTACTTATTTGTATTACATTTTGATATACTCTTTATTGATGCAAAATAATAGGATGAAGTCAATTGTTTCAGTTTATATAACCTTGCTCTACAGTATGATGGGTTTTATCGGTTAATGTCATAACGTCTCTAGCCGCAGAGTAACCTAGTTTAAAATAGGAGAACTGTGTCAATGCGAGTGAAAAAAAACTTTCTTTCTCCAAACAGAGCTGGCTCATGATAACATTAATGGTTCTGCATTATACATATAGCTCAAAGCCCTGGCTGAGCACAAGGGAGAATAAAAGTCCCCCCTTCATAATAAAAAGAGAGTACAATGAACTCAAGCTCTCAGGAACCTCTGTGCCGTTCCATTGTAAAGCTGAACTTTTCATGAGACATTTGAATAAGCAAATGACAAAGCTGCAGTACTGTAGGACATATAGAGCCAATTTTCTGAGACAAGACTGGAGACCTTGCTACCGTGCACCGGAATGATTACAAAATGGAATTCTTGTTGCGAGGCAGGAGAGAATCCTTAAACGTATAAAAACAATGAAAGAGAATAAGCATATGAAGAAGAACTTGCACTGAGCTGGATGTTCCGGGAGCTTTGATTTATAGCCGGCTGTTTGTTCTTTGTGTATAAAAAGATACCATCATGTTTGGTGACAAAGCCAGTCAGTGATGCAGAATTTTACAAATCGCTATACGTGCCTTGCCAAGGGTGTTGCAAGGTCCTTGTGGTTTGTTTTGAGTGGCTTCCGGGAGAGGAGCCAGTGGGTCAAAACAAGCCGCCGGTCCAAAGAAAAACACTCAAAGGCGAGGACAATATTCCAGAAACCATATGGATGCAGTCATGAGGCTATAACCACAATGATAGGGAATGATGCAGGAGTTTTTTAATCATCTTAAAGGTCCCCTATTATACTGTTTTTCATCAATGTATTATAGGTCTCAGATATACATGTCTCCGAAGTGTTTTGCTCGAAATACCAAACAGATTGTGCATTGTGGCATCCCATAATCCCCTCTGTTTCAGTCCTGTTTCAAAAGTGCTGATTCTCTGTCTGTTACTTTAGATGAAAAATAATGAGCCCCTCCCCACGCCCCTCTGAGAGATATTTGGTTAAAAAGAACACAATGGTGCTCTAGGAGGAGATTCACGTGACCTTGGTTGGTGATTGGCTAATGGTTACACAAGCCAAAAAATCGTTATGACATCATAAAGTGGCCAAAATCTGATCAGCTCATTTTCAGACAGATTTTTATATAAATGGATCAGGACAAAAAGTGAGCGAATATTTTTTCCTGAAACGTTCAGAATCTCTTGACACAGAGGGGACTCATGTTAATATATATAAAAGGCATGAAAAAGTGGATTTTGCATAATAGGTGACCTTTAAGTCGCAAAAGTAGCATTCAGAGGTTAGATATGAGCTATACAGTCAAAAAAAAATGCGCTGAGGATTCTTAAGAATCTAAATGATAAATAACTTAAATACTTTGTCAGAAGGCAGAATAATTCAATCATGTGCTTTTTTAGATTGTCTTGGATATCACAATTTTTTTGAGCAAGCATCTACATGCAGCAAGGTAATCTGAAGAGCCATTTCGTAGCTACGAAAATGACAAGGTGCCCTTCAGCGACGATACCCAAACCCAAGTGCCTCCAGGGTATGGATTACTTAAAAAAGCACTTCCTCACAAATTGTTGTTTTTCGCATTCGGCCATGTTCGCACTATCATGTTGTCCCTACAAGCAGCACACATTTGCATGAACAATGTATGCTCCTGCCCTGCCCCTCTCCTTCTCATCCAAATACCAAACACACAGAGGCACCCAGATCCCCCGGAGAGCAACTATAGCACTGTGGTGAAAATAAGCCACAGGCAAACTCATGCCTCTCTCTCACAGTGGCTGCTCTCAAGAGAAATAGGATTAAACCCTGCTCTGTTTCTATACGACTTACTTAGACGTGCTAAAACACAGACTTGTTTCACAAAGTTGCATGACCAAATGAGCGCATAAGTGTATATATGGGCGAGTGGAAGTGGCAACAGCTAACGAAGAAGTGAAGCAAACAAGGAAGTGCCAAAAGTTTCCCAAATGGATACTAGCTGGCGTCAAGTCAATCCCCCTAGACCCCTATGCTAAAATACCCAACTTAACACCAGAAAAGAACATGTTTACAGCCTAGTAAAACTAATTTAGACCAACCCTTTAATTAGCCCATACCAATCGAGCACAAATATAATTGGCATCCAAAACCTCAAGCGATTTCTATAAATCCCTGACCCCAGATGCTGTTTTCAGACCAGAGTCAGTGCTACTTTATGGGTTCTCTGTTGAGCCAAATCATTGGTATTCTGTCCAGCTAGTGCTTCTAGCAGAGGAGAGCTTTTGCACACTTTGACTGAGGCTGTCAGGATGTGTCTGGTTTAAGAGTTCAGTCCACTCAAACGATCAATACCACATTTTTCGGCAGGGTAAAAGATACGTCTTTTACATATGTATACAACAGCTGCTCATAAAGTAATTCTAATTAGTCTAGATGTCAATCCAGACTGCAACTAAAGATTATTTTTGACTGCTAAATCTGTTTTTGATCAATAAATTATAGTCTAGTCTATTTAATATTGGTTAGCAGCAGAAACTGGCGAATATTTGGCATTCTTGCTTGATAAATCTCTAAAAACAAAGACATGATTATGTTTTGGTTGTGTTTGTCTGTCAAACTTATCAATTCAAATCCAAAACGGTTGGTTTTCTTGGTTTAAACTGTAGTATACTAAAAAACATTCAGAAATCAATCGAAAAACATTGAGAAATATCACTTCTTAGTGTTTTGGTTTGTAACCAAAGGCATTGTTGCACATAATAATGGCCATCACAAAAAAGGTGGCACACTACTTCAGAGGGGGTTCTATCAGAAAAAGATGGAGTGTCTAAAACACATACTGTGCTCATACTATCTTTACTTCCATTTGTGTAAACGGCATTGGAGGAACTAACTGCTATGCTGGTAATGATTACTTCTGAAGCAGCTTTTAGCAGAACATGTTGTATCTGTGCAGCCCTAAAGGCTGCGTTTGATATGAATGAGATGTACCCAGGCTCAGGGACCACATTTGTGTGCTTTATTATTATAAAAATAAATAATAGTAATTTATTATTATTAAATTATCCTCCTCTATCCTGTCTGTGGTGTTGAACAAAGCGGGTCTATAAGGTCTGTTGCAGAAAAAACAAAAGGACTCGACCTGCTGCGCGAGCATACACATGATGCAATTTGTATTTTGCAGCCGTGAAATTATTTATAGATATGGTATTGACTCGTTCTATCGAGAGGGCTGTTGTCTGTCCGTATATAGATACTGAACAAACACAACACTGAATAACTATGTAAGGCGCGACTGTTATTGGCTCAGAAACCGTGGGAGAGAAAAGGTTATGGAGGTAAATTGCCGTGGAAAGAAAAAAGGCACAGAGCGTAAGTAATCACTGAGGACAGACCTGTGTTCTTCTGTCAGGAAAACAAGGATCCGTGACTCCCCGAAGCAGCCTGCCCATGTGTTTTATTGGCCTCATTTGTTGCCTTACATCTCTGTCTCCCTCCAACTTCTCGTACTGCCTGATCTGCCGTCGGCCTCACCCCATCCCTCAACATCTCTTTCTCTCTCGCTTTCTCACCTTCCATTCCCCTCGCACAAGATCCGTCACTCTCTCTCACATCCCATACTTCTTCCTGTGTCTCAGAGGAAGCTCATTATGAGACATTTCATTTCTGAGCATCACCTGAGGGTTCTTTTCTATTCCACACCTGTGCCGACATGGAAAAGCTTCACAAGTCTTATTTCTCCCCCTGCTTTCATTAGCGAGGGATGAATAACGGCAGAGTAATGGAAGTCTAGGCTTTTGAATAAAGCAGGGCCATATGGCAACATATTGCGGGGAACTCAATGGGATTGGAAAGTACTTTTGTGGAAATCAACAGGACCCAAATAACATAAGGAAAGGGGGATTCTTGCCAGAATGCAGGGAACAGGAAGATACCTTATATTACTGGAAGGAGAATGATTGAACCACTGGAGCAGCCACAAACACCTGTTGACTGTAATCTTTCCGTCTCTCACTCAGTTTCGACGCTCTTCCTTTTCTCTTCCTCTCACAAACAGAGGAGATAAAACAAGCTAATAGCTTGTGGCTTCAGGGGGTAAGCTAACAAGCACCGGTCAGAGAGAAAGAGAGACGGATAGATTCTATCATTTCAGCCAAAGAACGTCTTTGTTAGAGTGCTGGAGGATTGGCAGATTTGTGAACAATCTTTTTATTTCGCAAGATGCTCTTCTCATCAGTCATCTCTCTGTGCT